TGCAACTGTCTTTCCTGCCCTCTCCATTTCCTGTCCTGGCTACTTACATCACTACTTAATACAGAGCTCAGGCCCTAGCTGCAGAAAAGCTATCACATGTGAAGCCTTTTGTCCATACTGGCATGTACCAGGAGCTCAATCAAATATCTGGTCAAGTAAATAAGATTGGAGATAAAATTGTTCCTTCCAATCTAGGAGCAACGGGGTAATACCTATAAATGAAGAATTTACAGTATGAGTTGCAAAGAATCAGTAGAAAAATTGGTCAAGTACTAAAAAAGACCGAGGAAGGAAACACCAGCCTACATACATGGTGCCAAATGCCAATGTCTGGGCTTGGCACAAGATCACGAGCCACCACACAGCTTTGTAGGTTCAAACAGCAATTCTTTATTCTGGATCTCATACCAGCCTCCACACACGCTCAGGGGAAATTCTTAATCTCCCCCACAATACACATCCTAAATACTTTTTCTCCAGGAGAATTTAGGCAGCAGGCACTCCCTACTCCCAGCAGCAATAATCTTCAACCTCCCACTTCCCTAAAACTCCTTTTGTCTTAAACCAGGAACACCCTAAGGAGCGGGATACTTCCTCAAACCTGATCAGCTCTAAACCGGGATCCGCCTTGGTCCTTGAGCAAGGTCACTTTACATGCAATGTCAACAGCGAAATCCATTTAACATGGGGTAAGCTGGGAAGGAAATTTTGAAGCATCATTCCTACTTGACAATGGCCCTCAGCAACATAGGAAAGTAATGTAGATTAATTCTACTATTCCTGCTCCCTCTTTTCTAATCTACTAAACTTCTAGTTTACTTCAATCCTTGTTGTGTGTTAACATCCACATATCAGAGAGAACATTTGACTTTTGGGTTTTTGGGATTGGCTTATTCTGCTTAGGTCAATACAAGAATAACTCAAAAGAACAAGTAAAAAATATTTATCTATTTATAAGAAAAGAATCTCCTAGCAACTCAGGATTACAGACTTGGGCAAAGTATCTTCATAGGCACCAAGTTAGAGCACTATCCTATAATATTAGTCATGGTACTTTTGAGTAAAGTGAAATGAAACCATTAAATCTTATACTTAAATCTTAAATATTTTATTTTTTAGAACAGCTTCATTAAGTGTAATAGATATAAAATAAAGAGAAAACACAAGCCTATGTCATTAGTGAGAGTTAAGGAAGACTTCATATAGGACAGTGAGTCCCAAATGCAGAAAAGAAATTTGTTAGAATAAAAGAAAAAACATTTCATAGATAAGGGACAGGGCATTATTAACAAAGGTGTAATAATATCAGTCATTTTGGAAATCACCAGTAGTGAAAGAGGGGTTGTTTGAAAGCTACTTATACTAAGGTTGAACATAGTGAACAGTATGAATTAACATGTTTCTGTGGAACTATAAATTTTGTTTCTGAGGACTTTGCATTTATCTTGAGTGGTGAATCTTTGAGATACTTGTGTGCATTGAACCTGGTGACATCTAGCCCAAGAGGTTTCTGAAATTTTGGGTTAGTATAGATATTTCCTAGAGGAGTCAATATTAGCTGGGCATACTGAAGCATATCTATAATCTATCCTATCTATAGGAGGATGGCATATTTCAAGCCAGCCTGAGCATTTTCCAGAGATGGTGTCCTCAAATAATATAAAAGACCTAGGGATGAAAGTCAGTTGCAGAATATTTGCCAAGCTTTGGGTTCATTCCCAGGGCCTCACCCAACCCCTCACAATCAGAACAAAAATTATAAGATAGTCACCTAAAAGTCAAAATTAATTTAAATGCATATTTGGGAGAATATAAATAGATTATTGTTAGAGATATTTATTTTTATTTTGCTAGAGGATCCCTCTTTATAACTCTCTAAGTCATTTAAGTATATCTATATATTTGTCAGCAAAACTATATTTACATGTGACTCCGGAGGATGAGAGAAAAATTCTTGGTGGTACCCAAATCCAGCAGCCAAAGGTATGTAAACATTTAAGTTTCTGACTTCCTGTATTTTTCCTTGCTTTAATAATGAAGAATAGGCTAAATGAAATTACCTTTCAAATGAATGTTAGAATGGAAAGATCATTTATTATTTCATAAGCCAAAAGCATTCAAACTGGTTGTGAATCTACAAATAATTTAAGAATTCATGGTGCCTATAGATCAATTTTATGCTTGGGATTGAGGCAAAAAATATTTTGATTGTTTGTGCTTCTATTTTGATAATCTCCTTAAATGATCAACTAATAACTGGTTGAAATTAGGAACAAATTTAACAGCAAAGGCCACTGAATGCACTCATGCTAAAAAGTGGTCATTTTTTCTGGCTGAAAATTTTAGTATTACCAGCCTGTAATATCGTAGTCAAAGATTTCATTGTGCCTTGTCTTCAGTGATTTTTTTTCAAAGTAGGAAACTGACTCATTAGAGGAAAACAGCTGCCTGAGCAATTAGGTAAGAGAGCAAATAAATAGGAAAGGAAGAAATCAAAATATCACTGTTTGTAGAAGACATGGTACTTGACCTAGAAGATCCAACAAACTCTATGAAAAATTTCTAGAGATAATGAACAAATTTAGCAAAGTAGCAGGTTCCATAACGCAAATGAAAAAAAATCAGTCCGCTTTCCCATATACCAAAAATGAATCTTCTGAGAAAGCAATTAGAAAAACATTTTTTCACAATATCTTTAAAAGATACCTAGGGTTGTTTCTTTTTTTAAAGTATTTTTATTTTAGTTGTTGATGGATTTAATTTAATTTATTTATTTATATGTGGTACTGAGAATTGAACCCACTGCCTCACATATGCTAGGCAAGGGCCCTACCACTGACCCACAGCCCCAGCCCCTTAGGGATATTTCTAAACAAGGAAGTGAATGACTTCCACATGAAAATTGTGGAACACATTGAATCAAGTAATTGAAGAAGACCTCAAAAGGTGGAAAGACCTTCCATATGTATGGATAAGTAGAATTAATATTATTAAAAGGCCCATACTACCAATAGAAATATACAGATTCAATGCAATCTCCATCAAAAATGCCAGTGATATTTTTCACAGAACTAGGAAACAATAGTTCTAAAATTGATGTGGAAGAACAATAAACCCAGAAGAGCCAAAGTAATTCAAAGACAAAACAGTGATGCTGGAGGTATTATAAAACCTGATTTCAAATTATACTACAGAGCTATAGTAACAAAGCTGCATGATACAGGCATGAAATAGACATCTAGATCTATGGTACAGAATAGAAAAAATCTATTCTTTGTCACCTGTTCTTTGACAAAGATGCCAAAAATATACCCTGGAGAAAAGAAAGCCTTTTTCACAAATGGTGCTGAGACAACTGGTTATTCATATATAGAAGAGTAAAATTAAATCCTTGTCTTACCCTGCACAAAAATCATTTCAAAGTTGATCAAAGACTTAGGAATTAGAACAGAACCTATGGAACTCCTAGAAGAAAACATTGGGCCAACACTCCAACATAAAGGCACAGGCAACTAAGACCACTAAAGCTCAGGAAATGATCCAAGAGTTTATCAATGGGATGGCATCCAATTTCTGCACAGAAAAGGAAACCAAGGGAATGTGAAGAGAGAAACTACAGAATGGGAGAAAATCTTGGCTAGGTATACTTCTGACAGAGCATTATCTAGAATAGATACACCAAAAAATATAATAACCCAATTCATAAATTGGCAAATGAACAGGCACTTCTCAAGAGAAGAAATAAAAATGGCCATCAAACATTTGAAAAAATATGTACCATTAGCAATTAGGGAAATGCAAATCAAAGCACTGAAATTTTATTTTACACCAGTCAGAATGGCATTTATCAGGAATAAAAAATAATAAACAATGCTGCAGAGGATGTGGAGGAAATGGAATACTTCATACTTTTGATGGGATAATAAATTATAAATTATAAATCACTACAACAATTATGGAAATCAGTATGGAGGCTCTTCCAAAGATTAGGCTTAGAATCACCAATATACAGCTGTTCCACTCCTTGGTTTTTCTTCTAAATTAAAAAAGTTATCATATTATGATAATACATGGATACCCATATTTATATCAGCACAGTTTACAATAGTTACACCATAGTAGCAGCCTAGGTGTCTGCCAATGGATGAATTGTTAAAGTAAATATGATGGATATACACACAATGTAGTTTTATTCAGTCATCAAGAAAACTGAAATTATTTCATTTACAGTAAAATGGATGCAATGGAGACCATTATATTAGCAAAATAAGTCAATCTCAGGAGGCTGAGGGGCATTTTTTTTATTTACATGGAGTAGCTAGAGAGAAAAAGGCAAAGAAAGGTGGAGGCTGATGTCATGAAAACCAAAGGGAGATTACTAGAGGAAAAGGACCAAGGAATGGAGGGTGTGAATGAACGGGGAAATTCCTGGGGAGTGATATTGGGCAAATTATATTAGTACATTGTGTGCATTGTATGAATATGTAAGAACATATTCCATCAGTATATGTGACTATAATGCACCGGAAAAATGTGGAAGAAAGAAAAAAAGAAAGAAAGAAGAATAGCCAGTCCCTTTTAAGGGGATTGCCTCCCAGGATAGGACATTTGCTGTTAGAGCACTAAAGATAACTTCCCAGTTTATTTCTGTACTATGTCAGAAATCACTAAAAATTATGAACCATGCTTTATCCAACCTCTTTTGTGGATATTAGAATGTAAAAGTGTGGGTGCAGTTATTGGGGAATTATAACATTTGGGAGGGGTGTTATTGTCCTGTTTTCCCTTATACTCAGTATTACTATCCTGAGGTTTGTGCATGCATTTGGATGTATTTCTTCTTCATTGTTATATGTGGGTCTTTTTGGAGAACTGCTTTCTCTGTGCACTGGCCCTGGGCAAAGGCTGTATCTCAGTGTCAAACCCCAAATGGGCATGACCAAAGAGGTAGGTTTACCCATCACCATCTCTTCCAGAGGAAAGAATAATAACCAGCAAGAGCAACAAACTAGAAGGAAAATAAACTTCAACTAATAATTGCATGCTTATTTAAAAGCATCTCTAAGACTCCAATAACCAAAGAGAAGAAATGGGAAACCACAGACTGCATGGATGAAAAAAAAGGCAACAGTGACAGTTAAATTAACTAAACTCAGAAAAATAGGTGAAAAAAAGTGGTAAGATGGAGCAGAGAGGAAGAAACGAGGGGAAAATGAATAAAAATAAGATAATGGCATTAAAATGAGAACAAAAAGTGATACGGAGAGAAAAAAACAAGAAATTAAAAGGAAAAAATGAGATAAGAAGAGCTGTTTTTCCTTTATTCCAATGATTCTGGGATGCTGTGTTTCCATATTGTTTCTTTGTGCTTTTAAATCTCTGGACATCATGCAAAAGTATATTTTTTATTCTCCGCATGTTTCTGGAGTTTTCTATTCTTTTGATATCTAATTTCATTTCTTTATGATATTAGGAGATGGAGGACATTATCTTAATTTTTTTGTATTTGCTATGACTTGTTTTGTGTCCTAGATATATGATCTACTGAACTGATGGTTCTATGTGCTGCTGAGTACAATGTGTATCTGCTATTGTCAGATAAAATATTCTGTACACATCTGTTAAATCTCTTCATATTGAGGAAAAGCAGAATTTGAGGAACTCTGGTGATATTTGTCCATATGATGTAGACATAGGTGAACATCCTGTATTGAAGTCAAGCCCATTAGGTAGAATAGGTTTTTTTGTTTTCTTTTTTAAATGACATTTTGTGTACTGTCATTCAGGCATGAATATATATACTGTCATTTATCTTCTTATTGGATTGTTCCCTTTACCAATATTTATTTTTTTGACCTCCAGACAATTACTTCTTAAAGAATAAAATTTGAAATATGAGAATAGCTACTCTTATTTCCTTTGGCTTCTACTTGAATGTAATTTCATTTAATTTTTTTTTAAA